AAAGCACTGTTTATCTCAGGAGGCACAAGGAATAGTGTTGGTATCCTCCTTCGACTGGTGTGGACCAGGTTACGGTGGAGTGTGAGAACAGAGATGAGGAGTCTCTTTAAGACAGGAGTCGTGGTAGAAAGTACAACGTGCTCTGAATAATGCGACGTCGAGAACATGACGATGGTAGCCAAGTTTATAAAAGGATCGACGTAGGAAATCGATCTCTCTACTCAGGTACTGGGGATCACAGATGCGGAGGAAGAGCGAGGTAGCAACTCATGGAGCAAATTGTACCATTGTGCATAGACTTCCAGTACAAGGGGAATCAGAACTGATCAGCAAGAAAGGGAGCTTGTTGTCAACCTCCTGTTCCACCGTAAAACGGTTGGATTGAGAGAGAGAGTTCATCTTCTTTATAAAATCCGAGAACAGGGAAGGTTCGTGAGGCCAGAGAGGAAAGTCGTCATCGACATACCTCAGCCAAACCGAAGGACGATGGGAAGTGGAAGTGAGAAACTCAGACTCAAAGTACTCCATGGACAGGTTTGCCAGTACAGGGCAGAGAAAAGAAGCCAAGGCGACACCGGACGTCTGCGAGTAGAAGCGATCCTTCAATGAAAAGGAACTGAACTCCACGCCCAATCGAATCAGCTGGAGGAAGAAGTCGGTAGACAGATAAAGACGAGGATCCTCGGGATGGAGCATCCTCTGAAGGAAAGTGAAGGAATCACCAAGAGGGACTTTGATGAACAGGAAGTTGACATCAAAGCTCATGATGGTCATTGACGAAACACCAGGGACACGAGAGATTTAATCCTGAGAGGGGCGAAGGTGGTCGGAGGAATGAATACTGTCGATGGACGTAAGGGTGAGAGGACGGAGAGCAATGGAAAGACTGAAGCCAAGGAGTTGTTACTGGTGAGGAGTCAGGGACAGGGAGGTGAAGGAGAAGCGGGACTAAGGACTACGGGCGATAAGGCTGAAGTTTTCGGGAGAGAGCGCGGCATGGGTGGCGGAGAGGAACTGGACAGACTCATGAACGTCGGCTATGAGCTGGCAGACATGAGTAATGAGCCTCTCCATCAGCAAGTCCGAACGTACTCGTGAACGACAGAAGGCATCCTCGACATCCCTCCTACCAACATGGATACGTTTATGAAGAAGAGAATGTTTCCGTTGATATGAGGAAGGCAGCATCTGCTCCTCGAGGCACCTCGGAGGAAATGAAGTTGGGTGTTCCATCGGGCGGTGGCGATGACAAGCCTGGCAAGCACGAAAACCATGTCGGGGAAAGAGGCAGACAGTAATGTGAGATTATTTTTAGATTATTTTTCTCTCCTGTACTGGGACACACATACACATGCGTGCGTGCGTGTGTGTGTGTCTGTCTGTATGTATTCATATATATATATATATATACATATATGTATATATATATATATAAATCTTTCGCTCTCCTCTCTCTCTCTCTCTCTCTCTCTCTCTCTCTATATATATATATATATATATATATATATATATATATATATATATATTTATTTATATATATATATATATATATATATATGTATATATATATATATATATATATATATATATATATATATATGTATATATATATATATATATATATATATATATAATCACATATATGAATATATACATTTACACATCTATATAGCTATACATTTATTTGTCTATATATTTCTCTTTATCTATTCATTTACCTGTTTATATATAATGCATAATGCGGGTATACGTGTGTGTGGGTGTGTTTGTGTAATTTTGTGTATCATATAAAATTGAAACAAACAGTTGTAACATCTTTAATGTTTCTTCGATTTCAGAATGGACTACACAAAATTCTTCTCCGTTAATGCTTCTAGACGTAAACCTTCATGGATTGGACGGCTCAGTAAGTTCAGTGAAACTAAATCATTTGCAATATTTTTTGTGTGTTTTTTTGTTTTATGTTATAGAATGTTTATGTTCGCTAAAACATTTGACAAAAGACAGCAAAATCTTCCTTGGTACTGAAGGCTTAAACTACCAAGGTGTTTCCTTATTTTCTTCTGAAAGTGCAAATCAGAGAAAATCAACGTAATTTTCATATTAGTCTCAGCTATATAATTCTATAGTTTACTTACTTAAAATAGACTCAGATTAATAACTACTTTCGTGAGTTTGTCATCAATTTCACTTCGCAGTGAATGAAACATAATTATTCTGGGAAATTTCAGCCTCCGATATAACCGTTAATATAATCCCACCCGTCAAGGTTATAGTACTTCAAACACTAATGGCTCCAGTTAGTGAAGGTCTGCATTCAATCTACCTTCACTGTGTCTTGTTTAGGGAAGTTTGCCAGCAGCCCAAGTGTGTTGTGGTTGGCGGGGGGGCTTCCAAACCCGTCGCGCTTCCCGTTCTCTGAGGCAAAGCTAACACTGAGGGATGGCACCGTGGTCAACATCTCCCCCGAGACCATGGCTGCTGCTTTGCAATACGGCAA